ATATTAGCTAATCTCCCCGTCACACAGGCTCTAGCGTCACCGGTCTGCATGGTTCTTCAAACTACCCTGCCCCTTTCCCCTGCCTTTCCTCTTCGTCTGTCATTTTGTCTTGTGTCATTTTTACTACAATGTAGGTATAGCTTTGTATTCTGCTTTTGCTATTGATGATTTCATACCCCCCCCCACCTTGTTGCTACCTACTCTAATAATACAACTTACATAACAGCTTTTTCATAAAAACCTCATAATATTAGCTAATCTCCCCGTCACACAGGCTCTAGCGTCACCGGTCTGCATGGTTCTTCAAACTACCCTGCCCCTTTCCCCTGCCTTTCCTCTTCGAGTCCCGGTTCTTCTAGCTGGCATGCCCTTAGCCTGCTCTGACCCTGCAGGTATCAGGTCAGGTGTCATCTCAAAGACAGCTGCCCTGGCGACCTTGTCAAAGGGGCCTGCCTCTGTTAGTCTCTGTCTCAGCTCCCCATTTACTTTCCATGACATGGACAACCCAGCCCATGTTGATCTTGTTTATTGGTTTACTTCTTAATTATCTGCTTCCCCAACTCCAGCATAGAGCTGCATTGTGGGCAGGGGCCGTGTTCCATTCACTCCGAGGCCCCAACACTTACTAAGTGGGCAAGGGAGGATGTCCTGACACCCATGAAAGCTCTGTTTGGGGCATATATAGGATCGCTTAGATTGCAAAATTAAAGTGTTAAGGTATTTCTTATTTTTCCTTTTCAGCCCAGCTTACGCAACTCCAAAAGTTCTAGAAAAGGCAGGACTGACGATGGCTGATGTTGATGCTTTTGAGTTTCATGAAGCTTTCTCGGTAAGTCATCTTAAAGACCTCTCTTAGAGGACACTCACCATAGTGAGCATGCTCCATATTGGTGGAGAGAGCAAGGCCTGCTTTATCACACGAATAAGCAGAGGTGGAACTTGCCACTTTAAGTGTCACTGACCCTTGCTGGACAAGGTGCAGGGGAGGGACTCAAGGGTCACACATGCATTCTGCGAAGACGGCTCCCGAGATTCTCGTGTAGAGGCCCTTCAGAAATAGCCAGCTGTTGCTGTAGCAAAATGTCTCTGAAAACAGATTTCAAGATTCACTGAACTGTCAAATGAGATGCATGTATGCTTAAAAGAAAGAGGAATATTAGTAACGAGTCCTTATTGACTTCTTTTCCCTCCCAGGGCCAGATTTTGGCTAATTTTAAAGCCATGGATTCTGATTGGTTTGCACAAAACTACATGGGTAGAAAAACCAAGGTGAGTTTCCGATTTTAAATGCACTTGACTTCCCAAAACATACTAATATTGTGAATGTGGGGGGCGG